TGAAGGAAGTCCCCTTTTTTTTTCCTTTGAGACAGGGTCTCACTATGTAGCCTAGGCTGACCTGGCACTGGACCTGATTGGCCTCAAACTCACAGAGATCTGCTTGTCTCTGCCTCTCGAGTGCTGAGATTAAAGGTGTGTGCCACCACACACAGCCTTGTTTTTTTAGATGGGCCCAGGGTGGCCTGAAACTCAAGATCCACCTGCCTTTTTTTTTTTTTTTCCAAGTGCTGGGATCATATTTACGTACCACATACCTCACAAAAATAGCCCATTTACTTTATGTTTTTAAATTTTTTTATGAGTTTGCTACGTAGCTCAGGCTGGCCTCAAACTTGTGCTCCTCCTGCCTTCACCTCCTGAGAACTAGGATCACAGGTATATGGCTCCACACTAATTGAAAATGGGCTCCTGCTACTAACCTTGGTTTGATACACTATTAACCATGCCTTGCTGCCTCATGATCTAGTGTCACTATTCGTGTGATGCTACACATTCCCTAGCAAGGCTGAGTTATCTTTTTTTTAAATTTTATTTATTATTTTAATTTTATGTGTATGTGTGTATTGCCTGCATGTAGGTAAGTGCACTCGTGTCATGGAGGTCAGAAGAGGCTGTCGAATCCCCTGGGACTGTAGTTAGGGACAGTTGTTAGCTGCTATGGGGTGCTGGGATTCGAATCTGGGTCTTCTTCAAGAACAACCAGTGTTCTTAACCACTGAGCCATGTCTCCAGCCCCCGAGTTATCTTTTCTGTTGAGACAATTAGCCTCTCCCAGGTGAACCATCCCTCTTGCTCCACAGCAGGTGCCTGGCCCTTCCCATCCCTCCCTCCTGTTCAGCCACTGCCTTCCTGTTTGCTTCACGAGCTTCCCCAAGGGCCAGAGAGTAATGTGCTGATACCAGGAGTCAACAAAGTATTAGGAGGGACTCTATGGGACATGTGAGGTGAGCTGCCCAAGAAGCCCCCAGCCCTAAGGCAGATGCAGAAACCACTTATAGGGAGATTACAGTGTGCAGGCTGAGGCCTCACAGCAGAGGTGGGACCAGCAGAGGGCGGGACCTGGTAGACCCCGAAAGAGCATAGCTTCCTAAGAGCTGGTGGGATCGGCAGCCCAGTTCTGCAGCTTGCTTGCACAAGGCACAGCTGTACAAGTTCAGTTTTAATGGTGTGGTCGATGCCAGCTTGCTGTCTGCTGTACCAGGGTTCTGCATGAAGTTATACCTAGTTGAGAATCAAGCTTTCTAAAGAGCCCCCGAAGGGATGTTTTCTCTTTGTGCAAACAGTTCTTTTGTGCAGAGGGAGTTCTGTGGCTTCTTGGCAGACACAGGTGGGAAACACCTCAGTGAACATCACTCACTCCCTGTGGAGTGTGGAGACACGCACTGCATGTCAGCACAGCCAGCCCTGGGCAGTGGCGTGGCTTCTCTGCATGCTGTGCTCCTGGAGCCCTTCCTTCGATAATCTAATGGCATTGGATAACCTCTTCTTGTCCCGGTGTAGAGTGTTGCCACATGAAGTCTGTCTAGTTTATTCCCAGAGATCAGAGCTCTAGACTATCTGGGATCGCATCTAAGTTACTCAGACAGCAGAGACAGGTGCTCCCAGGGGTACCTGTACCCAGGGGCCAGGGCAGCAGCACAGGGTTGAGTAAGCGCTGATTTCCTATAGGGTGGATGCTGGCTGGATCTGCCTCATAAAGTGGCTATGAGGCAGGAAGAAGGTTAGCACATCGAGGCCCAAAGGCAGTCATTTCAGGTGAACAAGTCACAATGCCAGATGTTGAGTCCCTGTGATCACAAGCACCCTTCTTCTGGCTGGGCCAGATACAGCAGCCAGGGCTGCTAGGCATCTCTGGTAGAGCTCACAGGCTCTACGGCTGCATCCAAACCCCACACTGGGCTGCCAAAGTCACAGAGCAGACACCAAGGCCACCCGTTAGCCATGAAGATATAGCACCATGCAGAATGTACAGAGGGAGGGGACATGGGACAGGGATTCAGGCAGCCCCTCTGGAGTTCAAATACCTGCTCAGGAGCCACAGGATGATAGGAATAGGAAAGGAGCCAGCCCTCTACTACCCAGACTGCACCTCCCTGAGGCCCCAAGTAGATGTTGACCATGGTGCCTGTGTTCCTCACACATGGAAACTCCCAAAAAGAACATTATGGCAGTTGAGTATGGTGGCAGACATGGGTAAATCTAGCACTCAGGAGGCAGAGGCAGAATTCAGGGCAGCCTGGGCTACATAGAAAAATGAAACAGAAAGGATATTATGGCAGGATACACCAACCAGAGTGGGTACTGAGCACAAGAAATGCCCATCACTATTTCCAAAACAAGTTTTCTTTGGCTGTGAGTGCCCCGCCTCCATTACACAAAGGATGTTAGGGACAGCTACTCAGAGAAGCAAATGAATGGAATCCATCTCTCAGGTGACCCACTGGACTGGAAAATGTCTTACTGAGGGAATGACTACCCTTGACTACTGGGTCTGGGGTGGTGATACCACTGCCAGGAGCCACTGTCCACAGGCTTGTTCTGGGAACATCCGCAGTGCGTGCATGGAACCTCGGGTGCTGTTTTGGGCCGCACTTCCTTTCTGTTCAACTCTGCTGCAGCTGACAGGAAGCAGCTGTTTGCTCTGTGAAGACATCTATGGAGGCCTCATGGCTTAGCCACTGTGGATGGTGCAATGTAAAACAACTCCTGAAGGAAACAAAACCTAGGTTCAAGTTCAAAAGAATAGGGGCTGGAGAGATGGCTCAGTGGTTAAGAGCACTGGCTGCTCTTACAGAGGACCCAAGTTCAATTCCCAGCATCCACATGACGGCTAACAACCATCTGTAACTCCAGTTTCAGGGGATCCAACATCCTCTTCTGACCTCCACAGGCACTACATGACATGGGTGCCCCTACCTACATGCAGGCAATACACTCATACACATAAAACAAAAATAATTATTTTTTTAAAAATAGGAACAGTTCAGGTTGAAGAATAGGCATTTGGGAACCAGGGAGATAATCTTGGGGCTGGAATCATGCAGCCCATGCACTTAGTACAAGGGAGCTACAGGCCTGGGCGGGTCTGTCCAGAGCATGACATGTGTAGAAACAGGTGTTTGGAGGCTGTGATGTCTCATGGCCCTCTATTCTGCCTTTTCTTGAGATGTGAAGAAATGTCTGTCCACTCTAGACAGGGCACAGATGACAGATCAATGAAAACAATTCCACCCAAGTTCAGCTTAGTAAACCAATGAATTCATTAGGTCACTTGCAGGTGCATGGGTGACTCACAGGCAGCTGCATCATGGAACAGCCCACCCCAGCATGGTGACCACTCAGGAAAGCTGCATCCCTCTAGTTCCTTGCACCACTTGCAGTCAGCACCACTGGCATCTCTTCTCCCCAGCCACTGCTACTGCTTTTAAAGGCACCGTGATACTCTCCTAACTTTAAGTCTTATAAGCTTCCCTCCTGCTTCCAGGAGGGAAAGTTTTAGTTTGGGGGAAACAGCTATATAATGCCCTTCACAGACAGAAGGGTCCCAGGAAACCCATGGGCAGGTGTGCACTGGCTGCCATCTCCAGCTGTGTGATAAGGAAGGGATGGAGGTTTGGCAGAGGTTGTACATGAGATGAAGAATAACCAGCTGCTGGGCTTCCTGAGACTTACTGACACAGGCTTAAGAACATCTCCAAAAGCTGGCACAAGGCAACTGGAGAACCCCCACTCCGGAGTCTTACAAGGCTGAACCACCCAGGGTGCAGCCTAGGGACCACGATGGTGCACCCTGGTGGCCTCAGTAGAGATAAGAACCTGGGGTACCCTCTACCACTCAGACTGGGCTCTCCACTTTTCCTGTACCTTCCTTTAACCAGACCATTCAGATCATACCAGGGCCAGAAGGGGCTCAGTTGACTAGGTCAGTGACAAGTTGATTAAACAGAGGCAGAAAGCTGGCCTTGCTGCCTTGGTCTACAGAAGAGGAAGGGATCCAGTGGCTGGAAGATGGGAAGGATGGGGATTTGTCATGTGAGACCTACTGTAGGTGGGTTGGGAGGCCCTGGAACCATGACACCAAGCCCCAACCCTTGCTGCACAGATCTCACCTGGATCACACATTCCTCACCTCCCCTGTCACATGTGCCCCAAGCACAGACACACCCAGCACCCCAGCCTCAGCAAACTAGATGTAGTCTAGTTATGGACTAGTGGCCCTGAGGGAAGGGGGGGGGCGGTCCCAGGAGTCAGCAGCACTTGGCAGGGTACCACCTGGGGCCTCTCCAGCTCTTGGGGCGGGGAGGCTTTTCCAGCAATGAAGAACAGGGAACTTTGAGGTCTCCAATCCTTAGGGACCTGTCCATAGGCTGTACCCTCACCTTCACAGTCTTGTCCCTTCCCAGTTAACACCCACCTTAGAGGATACTCATCAAGTCTTCCACATGCTAGAAGTGGCTCTGGGCAGTCACTCCTAATACTTAAGAGTCTCGTTGTTCCATATACTACCTGGTTGTGCTTGTGCCCAGGGTACCTCAGAGGGCCCTGGCCCGTGGCCTGTCTCACCTGGTACCCTATGCCTCCTGCAGGTTCCCTGGGAGATGGCCTGTCACCTTGTCTGGTAGAGTGGTGCCTCCTTTTCTAGTCTTACATCTGGCTTTTCTCTGTATCCCACAAGTTCCTCTTGCCTCAACCACCTTGGTCACCCCCAGGAGCCCTTTCCTGCCTCTTAGGGAGCCCAGTTACATTCTTTCCTGATCCTGGTCTCATTCCTGGGTGTCAGGAGTTCCTGAACATTTCTGGTGCAAGGAGCCAGGGGGATGTTAGCAGGTAGCCACTGTTAGCATCTATAGCCTCCTAAGGTCCAGTCCTGGGTACCTGCATCCAGAGACCCTTACTTAAAAGTGAGGCTGATGATGAGCCTGTCCAGGGGATCTGAATGCTCTGACTTTAAGTGGGGGGACCCAGGGATATCTCCTTGGGCAGTTCCCACCTCAAGCTTTCAGGTTAGCAATGGGAAATTTATTGTCAAATACACTCAGGCTGGCCACACTGCCAAGTCCAAGCCAAGCCTCTCACCAAGCACAGGTGCCAGGTGTCTGTCATCAGGGTCACTGTCATCTGGACAACAGGCCATAAAAGGAGCAGAGAAGCTTATGAAGAAAGTGAGGAATCCACAATTCTTTGGCCACACTTTGTAGTCCTCAGAGGCCCACAAAGACCTTCCACAGGTCTTGGCCAAGGCTGGAGTAAGATGGCAGTCTTTTGTGACCAAGTCACAAGCATGGGTAGAGTGACCAGAGGCTGATACGCTGGTCCTTGGATCCTGCAGCCAGCAGGCCATCAGCAGCAAAGGCCACACAGTGCACAGAAGAGCTGTGGAAGGTCAGAACGGCCAGTGGCTTCATTGTCCGCCAGTGAAATATACGGATGCGATGGTCCCAGCCTGCTGTGGCTAGGATCTTGCGGTCTGGTCTGATGGCCACCTCAGCAATTCCAGGATTGGTGAGTTCATGAGTGCTGTACATCTGCAAGGCAGGGGGCACAAGGAGAAGAGTTAGGCAGAATTGGGTCTACTGAGGTCCTTGGCCACAGTACCCCCATCAACCTCCTCACCCTGCAGCTGGAACCACCTGTGACAGCCACACACTCATGTCCAATTGGCTTTCTCCCCAATCCGTTGGGTACAGCAGAGATTTCAGCCTCCCCTAAGAATGTGCGAGGCCCTGCTGCACCCCTCCCCTGAGCCTGCTCTGACAACTCCAGCCTTCACTAGCAGGTGGCCCTCAGACCAGCAGACAGGAAACCCCAGGCTGTAGGAAGAGCCTAGGTCCTAAGATTTCAACCAGAGGATGGACTGTACTGGAACACCCAGAGAAAGGCAATGTTTCTGTTTTGACAACCTCATAAAGTCACTGTTTCTCCTGGAAGACCCTCCACCACCACAAAGCTACAGAGAACGAGAAACACAAACTTGGTCTACAGCAACACTAGTGAGATCTTGAAATCTGGGAGGGCTTGGAGATCTGCCAAGGGTGGAAACTGGCAGAGAGGACGAGGTACTGTGGCTTCGATGGGTCCCTCAAGTTCAGTCAGAAACTTAATTCTCAAGTTAATCCGTTGATAGTATTTCTTAATTAGGGTTATATGAGGTCATGAGGGTGGGGCCCCTATGCCTCAGTACCTCCTAGTAGGACCACATCACCTCTTACTGGCAAAGTCCCATTTCTACAGAGGTAACACAGGAAAGAGGAAAGAAGTAGGAAAAATAAATAGCAGGAGATCTTGAATTAATGTGGAGGAAAGAAAGGTTTAAAAATGAGGGTCTGGAGAGATGGCTCAGTAGGTAAGAACACTGGCTGCTCCTGTAGAGGTCCTCGGTTTAGTTCCCAGCACCTAAGTAGCAGCTCACAAACAACCGTCTGCCACTCCAGTTCCAGGAGATCTGACACCTTCTTCTGGTGCCAGCCATGCACATGGTGCACATACATACATGCAGGAAAACACTCAAAAACTAAAATGCAACAGGGTGTGCTAGCCCTGAAATGTAGATATCAACGTAGAGCTATCCATCTAGGTCACAGCCCTTGTTGCCTGTATTAAAAAATAAGCAAACTGAGAGGAAAACAGAATTAAAATGGTCCAGCAAGAACACAGGAGAGTAAGAGCAGAGGCAGGATTCACTGATTTAGAAAAGCAATTTTAACTTCTTGAAATTGAAGTTTTATGATCTAAGTCCAAAGAAACGCTGTGCAATCAGTCAGTAGTAAGATATGCTCTAGTCAAATTATTAGGCTTAACAATGAATAAAAACCTTCTGACAGCCAGGCAAAAAAGATCACATGGAAGATGAGGGATCAGTAGAGGCTGTTTGTAGAAGGTTCCAGAGCTCCATCTTTGCCAGCACACAGTAGAGTGATACTCATACAGGCAGAAAGAGGAGTGTGGCTCAAGAATTTTATATCCAGCCAAACTGTCACTCAACTGTGAAAACAGAAGACAGACGTTTTTGAACATGTAAGAACTGAATGAGTATTGCTCCCAAAGCCCTTGTGGAAGAGCGAGAAGATTAACTCCAGTCTTGTGGGAGATAGCTGGAGAACGAGAGTAAATGGTCTGGCAGACAGCACTGAATCTACTTACCTACAGGATTAGGCCTAAAACATGGGGATTATGGCTAAAGAACCGGTTATGTAACTAACAGAAACATGGGCGGGTGACGGGAAAGACGGATGTGGGCTAAGTGCACTTGACTTGCTCATGGCTTCTCATGTGGGGTCAAAGACACAAGAGTCAGTCTTGTGTCTGAGAGATGATCTGACCTCTCACCGCAAATAATGGCAAATTTCCTTCTCTTCTCCTACCTGAAAGGAGGTGCCTTAGTTTCCTGGTATTTGCCCTAAATACAGTTCACACTGAAGAGTTGTGGCTGTGTTCAGCAAATAAGTAGGCTCATCCTTCATAAAGCAAGGACAGGAAGGTGGCTATAACAGAGTACCTGGTGCCTGACTAGTCAGCTTACTGGAGGCAACCATGAAGGTGAACAAAACACGCAAGGTAACTAATGACAGGTCCTGGCTGGAAGGTAGAGGAGGGACACTGGCATTCTCTGCTTGAGGACAAAATCCAGCCAAGAAATAGTAGCCATGTTAAACAGGTCAAAATATGGGGCAGCTAGAGAGCCAAGATTATGAGGATAAGGTGGTGGAATGGAGGGAGCTAGGATGTTTGGGGGTGCCTGAGGAGTAGATGTGGGTTCCCCAGGAGTCCTGGATTAAGGGGTAGGCTGTGTATGCTCACAGCAGGTGACAGGTTTACCAGAGAGTGACTGTGGTGCTGGCACAGCTAAATGGAAGAGGTACTCAAGGTCAACAGTGAGAACCAAAGACTGCACAAGCCACCAGAAGGGTCTCTGGTCTCAGGAATAATGACCCTACCTCAGAGCCAGGCCTGCCCTAGACATACTAACAAAGCGAGAAGCCAGGCTCTGGCAAGGTCTATAGGGGACAGGGGCTTGGGAGTTTAATTCTACCACAATTAAGGCACCTGGGAATGACTTCCATAAACGTGCCCTGACATAGCAAGAAGGCAAGCCCACACAAATTCAAAAAGAACAGCCAACAACTAAATCCAGTGCTAGAAAACAGGCAGATGCCCTTCAGGACAAAATGATAGAATTCAGGGTCTCCATTATGCATCATTTACAATGTCCAGCACACAAAAGAAAATTACTAGACACACAAAATAATGTAGAAAACAAAAAAACTTTTAAAAAAAGCGCCTGGCATGGTGGCACATGCCTTTAATCCCAGCACTCAGGAAGCAAAGGCAGGTGGATCTCTGTGAGTTCAAGGCCTGCCTGGTCTATATAGTGAGTTCCAGGCCAGCTGGGGCTACAGGGAGACCCTGTCTCAAAAAGACCAAAAAAAAAAAAAAAAAAGGAAGGAGAAATAAATACATAAATACCTTCTCTGTATAAACAGAGACTAAGCAGTTGGGGTTTTTTGTCTGCAGAACTGTACTGTAAGAGGTGTTCAAGGATCATCTTCTGGCTATAGGGGCATGACTTGGATCTACAGGAAGAACACCAGCAGTGATGACTGGTAGTAAATATAAATACTGTGTTTGGGGGGCTGGAAAGATGGCTCAGAGGTTAAGAATGCTGGCTGCTCTTCCAGAGGACCCAAGTTTGGTTCCCAGCACCCACATGGAAGCTCACAACCTCCTATAACTCTAGCTCCAGGGGATCCAACGCCCTCTTCTGGCTTCTGGCACCCACATACACAGTATACATACACACAGACACATATATTCACATAAATAAAAAGAAATCTTTTGGGGCTAGGTGTGGTGGTGTATGCCTTTAATCCCAGCACTTGGGAGACAGAGGCAGACTGATCTCCTTGAGTTTGAGGCCAGCCTGGTTCTAATCCAGCTGGGGCTACAGGGAAACCCTGTCTCAAAAAGAAAAAAAAAAGAGAAATCTTTAAATAATACTGTGTTTTTAGGTTTCTCATAACTTTTTTGATTTTTGGGTTTCTTTTGTTTGTTTTCTTTTATTTTTTGAGATAGGGGCCCTAGACTATGTAGCACTGGTTGGCCTGGAACTCGCTATATAGACAAGACTAGCCTAAACCTCACAGAAATCAGCTTGCCTCTGCTTCCTCAGTGCTGGAATTAAAGGCATGCGCCACTATGCCTAATTTCCTAAGTTTAAAAAAAAAAAAACTGATTATTTAAAGCAAAACTAGGGGCTGGAGAGATGGCTCAGGAGTTAAGAGCACTGGCTGCTCTTGCAGACCCAGGTTTGATTCCCAGCACCTACATGGTGGCTAACAATCATCTGTAACTCTAGTTCCAGGGGAATCCAATGGCTTCTTCTGACTCCACAGGCATTGCATGACACACTCATACACATAAAACAAAAATAATAAGTTTTTTTTTTAAAAAAGCAAAACTAACATGGTAAGGGGGTGACCTGTGCAGAAGTCAGGGGATGCTTTATGATGTCTGACACTGCTAAGAATGCTTAACAGTGAGTGTCTGAGGACATACTCGCCATTCCATGGGCACAGCTGCATTGGATTAACATAGAGGAACTCAGGAAAGCACCAGAGGGCCAGAGACAGAGGTGACCATGCATGTGGCCCCAATCTATCAATCAGTACACTAAATACAAATAGACTAAAAGCTCCAATTAGAAGCCAGTAATTGTCAGAAAGGGTCAAAAAGCAAGATAGAACTATGTGCCATCCGCAAGAGATAGCTTTCAAATATACAGAGGTAAAGATAGGCAGAAGGTAGAAGGACAGAAAAGACAGACTGTGCAAAGGACAAACCAAAGAAAGTAGAGGCTTTGGGGCAGACCCACCATGGAAGATGTTTAGGCTGAGGGTTGACATGTTAACAGCGCATGGAAGCAGAATCCAGGCCTGTGGGCCTCACAGTGGCCTTTCCAGAGTACGGGCACCAGGTACCTACTCGCCCATAGTCAGAAGCCACCATATTGACCACTAAGAGATCACACCAAAGAACTGAAGGATGGCCTTGCCTACATAATGAGACTGAGGTCAACCTGGGCTACATGAGACTGTCCCCACCTCCCCGGAAAAAAGAAAGGAAAAGTAAAAAGAAAAAAGGTAACCTGTAGAGCAAGAACTAGATCCACAAGAGACACATCTACATCTTGAAGGACCAAGAAGGATTTAAAAACCTAAAATCCATAAGAGGAATGAGCAACCAAAGGAAATTTGGTCTAAGCCGTAATTAATGGTTGGTGAAAGACTTCCTTTCCAGGAGGTGACTGAAGAAAATTAACTAGGAAGATTATTACTCTCTACTTGCATGTTCCTGAGCTAGCTTTCAAATACATAAAGTAAGAAAGAAGGGACCTGGGGAAAGCAGAAGGAGAAAGGCCACATAAGTCTCCCCTGCACCACAGGGCCTTGACTAAACATACAAGTGTGCCTGATCCAGCGCTGTGTGTGCAGCTGTGCATCTAGAGAGAGGCACTTTCTGTTCAAGCACA